GGGCTACTATATAAAATCCCAAATATGAGCTTTTCTCCTTGTAACGGAAATAATCCAAGAATCACAGCTCTATGGGATAATGAATCATGTGAATCACTGCTGATGATATCTACTAATAATGAATAACATTACTCCCAATATTAAGACTCGTAAATGAGTTGATGTGGTTGTATTTCTTCACCTATAATGCCAAGGCCTAAACCAATGCAATTGACCTAGGAATGGAACAGAGGAAAATAAAATTTGAGCCAAGGAACAGGGTTAACATTATTCACATCGTTAATGAGAAAATCAGAACTACGTAGTACATTAGGACGTAAATATTTGCTGCCAAAAGCTGAGACACTAGTTCATCGCCCTCCCGTGCACTCCCAGTGGCACGGTAAGCCTTTGTTGATACCTACACACTTATTTGGAAGAGGATTATCTCCTATACATACAGACTTAGGATCCAGATTTTAGGTATGTGAAGCAGGTTTTCTACAACTCACAAACTTGAATATCCGAGGGAAGACTCCTAGAGACCTCTCTCACCTTTCTACTATCGCTTTTAGGGTCTAACTTTAGATAGAAAAAGGAAAGCAATAATTTCCCAAAAGGGATCGGTGTCAAATGAATAATTGGGCCTTTGAGTGAAGAGCTTTACTCCTTTTGCAAAATTTATTTAGCATCTCCATTGTCTCCCATTAGACGAATGTCACACACTGCCTCTAAAGAGGACTTCATTTAAAAAACTAGTCTCAACATTTTTGTAATTTATTGCTTCTGAAGGCAGCAATTTTAGCATTCTATTGAATAAAGCTGCATAAATTATCCAGTATCCATCAATAGAAGCATTGAACCAACGCCTCACAGCAGTAATTGGTCCATAAATTATATATAGGAAGATGAACTATGTTTGTAGATAAACTTTACCCTTCTGAAAAACCTAAGTGCCTGAGTTTAAAAAAAAAACTCTTCTAATCTCAATGCTCGGGAGCGGGAGATGGGAGGCAGCACATGGTGTAATAGATTTAGATATAGATGCAATGGTAGCATGTAAAAGTAATTAGTATGATTGGTAAAAATACCCACATTACTACCTTCTTGAGTGCAAGAGCAAGGAGTTTACTGTCAAGCTTCCCAGAAGCTATTGAATCAAGATAATCTCTGGAAATCTTAAATGCATGATTTTGCAAAGACAAAGGCATATCTGAAGCCCTCACACGCACATTCGTATGATTATTCTGATTTTTGTGCTCAACATCCTTCTTCTGTATCAAACTGTTCAAGAACTTGCTCCTCCTCTCCAATTCTTCCTCTGCGCCTTCCATTTTTCCTCATCAATTACACTTCAAACCCAGTAATAATTTTCTGGTTTCTGGGGAAGAAAAGTACGTGAAAAAAGTGTATTTCCGTGCTAAGGCTTGCGGAGTGACCACAGTAAAGTATAGTGCACACAATAGTCTCGAGTAAAATGGTTTGTATTTTATTGTTTGTATTGAGGTATTCTTTTGCGTATGGACAAGGCAATAGTCGTTGGGTATGGCGCTGAAGAACAGAAAACTAATTTACTTGCCGAGAAATTCGGGCCATTTGGCTAGGGTATCCGTTGAATTGTCAAATGCTTACGTGGAATTGGTTATCGGCTTGTCAGTAAAATTTGGAAAAATTTACTTCTAAAAGTTTGACATCATAATGCGTCATGGTGGTGATAGATAATTGAACGGAAAAGTTGGTCGTGTTTTAAATTGTCAAATATATAATGCATGTGATATTAGCCAAACTTTATGTCAATCTTAGCTCCCGTTTGGTTCCTACTGAAAATATAATATATTTTTATATCTCTTCTTTTCAATCATACATTTTTCAATAAAATAATATTACACATTAATAATAAAAAATTCATTCTTTTTCAACCACCCATTCTCCAAAAAAATAATATTACAAAAATTATAATCACAAATATTGAGGGCGAACGGGGGCTTAATGTTCAATAATCTCCTACTTACCTTAAAAGAGAGAGCTCTGCTTGCATTATAGGGGCATGTAAACGTTAGACACAAGGGGGGCACGTATTTTTTTAAAAAAATACATTTGAGTGGGACGTGTGCTACAGTGAGGGCCTGTAAGGCCCTTGTGAAAATAATTCCTATACACCAGCAATTTTATTCTAAAAGAGAGGATTGCCATTTATTGTTCCCCTTCATTTCACTCAAATCAAATCAGTTACTGTTCACAAACGAGTTCTTCACTGTTCATTACTAGATATTTTCTTCATATACTTTTTTTACCTCTTCTAATACCTTAATGAATAATTCTCTTTGTACAACACTTGGTTACAATATTGGATGACAACCTCTTACGATTATTCATCCAATGTTGTAAC